CATTTAAATACCGGATTTCATCAGTTTTTGAAAAAAAAAATGAATGAGCTTACCGGATTTGATCAAACATACCGGTTTTACATGAGGCAAACCGTATTTGGCATTACTAAATTTTACTTTTCTTACCGGATTTCAAAAAATTGATTTTACCGGATTTTTGAGAGCTTACCGTATATGCAACTTAATCACCGTATTTGCACTACACATATCGTATATGATACCTTCATACTGGTTTTGCAAGGGTCTTACTGGTTTTGAAGAAAAACAGGGCACTTACTTGATTTGCACTCAAGTCACTGGATTTACAACTTTTTTACCGTATATGCAGGTTGCATACCGGATTTGCCCAAAAACTCTGTTTTTCTCTCCTTTTCTCAGCGTTTTCCCAGCCTTTTTTAGCTGATTTCTTCCAGTTTTTTGATGCTAATGATTAGTTTTTCAGCACTAATCCTTGCAATCATACCAGATTTTTTCAGCTTTAAAACCATGTAAAAAACATATCAGATTTAACCCCTTCTCAGCTTTATTTTTTTCACCAGATTTCTCTATTTTTTTTCAACACTTTCCCAGCTTCTTCTTCTTTCTTCAACCCCAGGTCCATTTCCAAGATCATTGATACTCTGATATCATGTTGGGATTTCATTGATCTAAAGCTCTATCAAGAGAGCTCTTAAAAATATACTTGGATTATGTGTGGAGGAAGTTTATACCGGATTTTAACATACAGGTTATTCATCATAAAAAAACATATGAAACATAAGCATAAATCACTTTGTTCTGGGCAGAACAGAGGAAAGGAAAAATCTTTTGAGACTACATCTTCCTTAACGTTTTTATGCTATAATTCCTTCATATATTTCTCTTATAAATTGGCTCTATTTATAGCCAAACATAAATAGATTTTTACAAGATATTTAAAAGATATTTTCTACCAAATATCTAACTTAAACCAATTTCAATTTTACTACTACTACCACCGCCTTATATGAGCAGCCCACATTTTTCATTTGTAGACCATATATCCACTTGTAGTAGCTCACAACTAGCTTAATTTTACATCATTATATAGTTAGACTTTAACCAAACTTTTGTCTAACTAAATACAAACCAAAATATACTAATTTGTGAGACAACAAAATGTCACAATTCCAACAATAATCACATTGCTCGCTCATTGGAGCTTAATCCACGACGTACATTTATCTAGATGGCCCACTGGGGCATCCTGAGCTATTATGGTAGTAGTTTGGACAATATATTTTAGAGAATGAGTGGTATCTCTTGGTTAGACATTCTTTATCCACCCCTTCTGCTTGTCTCAAAGTCGGCTATATGCCGCTTCAACTGTGCGAGCTCATCTTGCTCCCTATATTGGTCCCTAGTGTGTGAAATGTTGATTTAAGGGACCTCTTCGTTGTTTGTCCTGGGAAGGTTGGCTGTCAAGATGGTAAAATACCCTTCTCTCGTGCTGAAGTCCAATGTACTTTCTGGGATTTGCCTCGTTTAGTTGGTTTTGCTTTTGGATGGTTCATCTTCTGGAAACAACAGGTTCCTTCCTATCGGTGGGCGATATCCCTGGCTCTTGAATGGTGGTAGTTTGATTTTGTTCTATGCGGCGTTCGTTGTTGGTTAGGTTTTGGACAGCTTCCATGGATGCAGTTATTTGCTGACCATCTGTCCCCACAAAAGTTTTACCCGCGTGATATCTTCAGAAATTTGGCGGGATTTCGACATTGTTACTCCTTTTTTGGGGATTGCTGCAGCTTCTTGAACCTCGATTCTGGCTCATTTCGTAATGAAAAAGGGGAAGAATGGATTTTTAGAATTTTGGATAGGACTATCTTTGCATGGAATTTTTTGGGACATCGTTGCTCTTTCTAATGCCAAATTGTTTACGGTAAAAAGTGAAGTGACATTTTTTAATAGATATGTAAAATAATGCCTAAATTCTCTCCAAATTCATGTCCCCTCTAAGGAGGGAAATGACTCCTTTTTATAGGTAAAATATTTCTTCCACGTCGTCCCGTCACTTCAAGCAACAATGTTTTATTACGAAGTGTGTGGTTCTCACACAAGTGGGGGAGACAATCACAACCCTTAGCTCTTTTCTTTTATTATGAAGTTACCCACCTCTCTGTCCGAAGTGATTTTTATTAATCCTTATTTCGTAATGGTTGTAATTCATTCACGTGGTCGGTTTGAGACTTAGTTATGGGCAATACACTACAAGACCGCAATACATTGTATTTCGGAAGTTTTTATAAGCATGCTTATAAATTATTGCTAAAAGTTTACTTGCATATTTCATGCAAGTACTATCAACTCATTGATCATTCATTTCTATTTATTTATTATCTACCAAAAGATCTAATTGCTTCGAATCTTGCAATCATATTTGACAATGAATCGCACGAGGGGATAGAACAAAACAGACCATGTACACGTAGCTTACCATAAATTTATTGCTAGAAAAAACTTAAATTTGTTATATCGGCAACCAACAATTGGGGCAATCAGAAATTAGATAACTAAGATTGTGATGAAATACATTGCATGACATATTCAGCTTAACAGCAAGTTAAGAATTCCTCCAGAAAGGGAAAACAGGGTTCGATTTTCGAGGGGAAGAAATACATTATGTGGGAAACCATCGCCATTGCATTAACATGACTACAGACCCTGTTCAATGAGGTAATCACCAAGCCTCTCAACAACCATATTGCATTGGCCAGGAGTCATAGGCTCGTCGTATATTCCAATGAGCAATGCTTGGTTTGTCTTCTTGATGGTAATACCACCAGGACCCTGAAAAGGGAAAAAAAAAAAGTTTAACCACATCAGAATTACAGATCAACTATCTCAAAAATAAGACGTTTCATAGATCAAATTATCACATCAATGTTCGGATATAAGATTTGGACTTAGAAGCACCTGTAAGGGGAAAGATGATAATCTGGACAAGAAGATAGATTTGTAAGACACCCATACACTGATCAAATTACCAAGATATCATTGTCCTATAATAATTATCCAAATACCCCTGATTTTATTTAGGGGTATGCATTTAACTTATATTTTCAGATCTTCTCCTCACTCCTCCCTTTTCTCATCCAGTGACTAGTCCAAGATAATGCTGTTTCTTCTTTCTTCCTCAATTTTCTTCAAGTAAAAACCTTTGGAGGCCTTGTGCATTGCTGTAGGTTAACAGTCAACATTAGACTTCGACGTACACATAATTGGGTTTCTCCAGTCGATATAACAATGAACCGAGCAAAGTTACAAAAATGTATTCATGTAGCCCGCTCAAATTTATTGGGAGTACGACTTTATAGAGTTTTTAACAAATTGATATTGCCACTTCCAATGAAAGAACCATGTCGCAAATTGCTCACTACTTGGTAGGTAGAATAACCACCATCTGGAGAATCTAAAAGTTCAAACCAAAGAAACTTGATTGTTTGGCTCATTTTCAAAGCCAACCAATGCGAACATCATCTATACCATTCCAAGTTGAACCGCCATTTATTGAAGCCAACAGTTATCTCAAGGAACTCCATTATATTTTTCTCCAGATTTACTATCTTGTTTTAGAGTTTAACAGCTTTGAGTGTAAGACCTTTCATAATTAGATAGAAGGAAAGTTTTAGTTCTGCTAGTTCATATCATCTAGGCCAGGGCATGGTTCGGGTTGGGTTGGTTCTGGGCCCAAACCGAAACAAAAACCGACTTGGTCGGTTTAAATAAATTTCAACCCAAATTGACCCTATCCAGCTATTGAGATCGAATCGAACCAAACCAAATCGATTTGGGTCAGTTAGTCGGTTTGGACATTGACCTAAGTTAAAAAACTGTCTACTTAATTTTTTGTTTGCATAGTGTGCGTATCAATAAAATATATAGCCCCTGTCTGGTACAAATTAAAATCTAGATTTTAATCTAAATCAAAGTCAATAATTAATTTTAATCAAATGTTTTATGGTCCCAAAAATTTTCCACACATTTCATCAATTTATATCAAAATTTACAAAAAATCTGATTTTAATGCTCACCAAACGGGGCATAATGTAAATAGTAAATGATCCATTTTTCCAAAGTCATCCTACATATCCAGTAGTTTATCAACAAACAATTACACCAAAAATGAAAGTAAGGCTACAAACTGAATTTGGAGTTTACAATTGCTTTTCATTTCTTTTGGTATTTGGAGTTGATAGAAGAGTTGGAGAAAAAGGGGGGCCATAGGAATAACCTCTTTGTTTTGGTAGATTACTTAGTACAAGTTATTGTGTACATCACAGTCATGACCACCATCATCACTGTGCATAGTTGTTGGTAACGTTCAATTCACAACCACAACATCCAAAAAAAATTGCAAGAAATTGAAATTGAAATTGCATGTGAGCAGAATGACTGCAAAAACTGTTGCAAGCAACAATTATTTAAAAAAAAAAGGCTAAAAATAAATCAAGTTTTCCAAGCATTTATCAGTAGATTAAAATAATGATATTTTAAATCACAATAGTTACATCAGATCATTACCTTCTTTCCTCTAATTACGGCTCCTGGCTCCCCTTGAATCACCATATACTTTGTTCCACCAAGATATAGCCCTGTAGGAGCAAGTTTTCCTGGTTCATTAAAATCTTCCATAATGGCTTCTATTTCTTCTGGTTTAAACTACAAGGCCATAAAAATGGATATCAGTCATACACGAGGTGAACGTAATAATGAATTCAGATAAAAACCAACATGATGTCACAGACTGTTGTGCAATCGGTGTGTTTATTCACTGGTCACATATAGTTTGAAATAGAAAAGACCCACCCACATGACATTACAATTTTTTCCCATATATTTTTGATCATTGGGAGGGTGAAGATTTAAGATGTTAAAAATAAAATAAAATTACAATAGATAAATGGAGTCTTAAGGGAACAATCGTGTAAAAAGCAAAAAATAATGTGAAGGGCATCAACTTAAGGTTGTATAATTTAAAGAGTCTGGACAGCAAATATAACTTTGCTCTCAGTTGTCATCTCTGGTTGCTTCTCTCAGCCGCCTACCCAAAAAAGTAAAGCACAATCCTCTTTCCCACTTTCCTTTTTTTCAACTTCTACATCTTCCAATTGTTACACACAATAAAAAGTAAAGCACAATCCTCTTTCCCACTTTCCCTTTTTTCAACTCCTACATCTTCCAATTGAACAATCATGACTCGCCCAGTGCTTGTGTCTTCTAGTAGTTGCTATCATAAATTACTATAATCTGTCTCCAGTTCTGCGGTCAGTTTCTACTATATCTTGTTGACAATTATTCGGTTCACCATTGTAGTTAGTTAAACATATATTTTGGCAAGATAGAAGGGAAGAAAGTGATATATCTCACCACTATACCATCTCATTCTAATAAATAATCAAACAAATTGAGCACGTGAACATTTTAATTAGAATGTTCAATGCTGAAATAGAATTCTGTAAATTTCCAATTGAAAAGAATCATCACTTTACCAAATAATTACTCCCAACAATAATTGATTTCATAAACAGCTATAAATTACTAATAAACTAGTAGAAAAAACAACTGAAGTGAAATCAGGATGGATAGATAAACATCTAAATTCATTTAAAAATAAAAAATAAACCCACGTCTTCATTGAATACTTATAATCTAATTCTAGAATCAATAATAATCTATTTCACAAGAAACAGTAAAGCAAAAAATCGGCCCAAAGTCCAATAACCAAAAAAAGGGGAAGACAAAGAAGAACCTGAGGAAAATTTTCGCTTTGAGCCCAAACTGTACCATCTTGGCCAATAATGGCAGAAGAAGTGAGACGATTCCCGTCCATATCACACATCAAGTGATCATCTACATAAGTCTGCCAAGACATTTTCAAGTTTTTGTTTTGCTGTTTAATTTGCAACACAAATACTATTTTTCTCAGCTGGTTCCGCTTCTTTTGAGTTTCCTTCTTCAATTTGAGTCGAATTTATTCGGTTGAGGTGTGAATTTTCTGAAGTTAGCGTGGGATTTACGCGGAATTCAATTAGTGCTCCATCAATGATTTTGTACCGTTAGCTGGATTGACGGTGTATAATTGTAACGTGGACGTGGGTCCCGCCGGCCCATATTATGGGAATATTCTATAATAATGATTGAACATGCTTAAAGATAGGAAAATGATGAACAAACAGACTTGATCGCAGTATTTTTTATTTTTTAAACTGTTCAATAGTGTGTCGACACGTATTCAGGGTGGACCCAACACCTAGCTAGCTCTTGCGGCCGTCCGTGTTGGATCTGTCGGGAGCTTCTTCAGGTAAGTCGTCGGCTAGCCGTTCGTCGGGAAGAAAAAAATGAAGAAGACGCTGAACTTATTTATTTTTTCCTGTTGGACTTTTTTTTAAAAATAAGGCCCAGCCCAAATCTCAATCCATGGGTTTTGCTTGAAATTGAAAGTCCATTACCCACAAAACCAAAAACAATTCCTAAATTGAAATCGGCAGAGGACGAGGAGGGAGACGACTGACAAGTCCAGGGGTGATTGGCGAATCCACGATAGCGGTTGACGGTGGTGGACGCCGGACGGTGATGATTCAACAGTTGCAGCAGCAATTAAATGCAATAGCTGGGCCTGGACATGCGACTGCGGTCTGCGGGAGAAGGCGTCTGTTAATCCACAGGCTACAAAAATACCTTCTCTTCTTGCCTCAAGAAAGTTCAATTTTTTTGTTTTTGGTCTATTTTGAAGTAAATCTGTTTCAAATTAGTGATTTGGGAATTTCGTAGATTTTGATATTAGTGATTTGAGTCGGGTTTGGGAACTGTTGTTCATTTAATAACTATACAGAATTAGGGCATCCGAATTGGAATAGAAATAACTCTCTTCGAATTTGAAATGGTTGTTTATGAATCGAAATTGTCATGTTGCCAATTGCTTTTGAGAAATAGCTGTAGCCTATTAGAAAGTCATTTCTAATTGAACCAACTTTAGTTCATTTGTATTTAATTGATGATTCTATTTTGTATAATTTCATTAGACGTGGGCTTAGTTCTCTTGGAATAAAATGATTCATATGCTTGTACATTGTGGAAATATTCAGTTGTGAAAAATTCTTGAGCATTGTTTTGTAGCAAAAAGTATTGGTTTTGGCTTTGGAATTGGAATTGGGTGGGGATAAAAGATGGGTTAACCTAAGGAGTTAAGGATCTACAAGATTTTGTATTCCAATCAGTCTTAAAAAATTCATTTGCGACGATGAGTTCAGAATTGTGGAGAGATGAAGAAGATCAAGTCAGAGGCTTGTGTGTCACAGGATCTATTCCCATTCGAAGAAGCTTTTTTCTAATATATGTCTGTTCTAAAGGGGGATGTCGTGTTGTTTGAGGAGTTGACGATGGTACGGTCAACGGTCAATGGTTAACGGCTGTCCTAGCACTCAAAATCTTGGGTCCGCCCCTACACGTGTTCCGCTATTTTAAAACCTATTTTTGAATGATTTTCTTTTAATATTTTTGCAAATATGAACTAAACCACCCCCTAAAACCTTTATTCTGCCATCACGGTTTGAGTCATGGGAGTGAGGAGGAGGATATGTTAGACTACCTTTTTTCGGCCGATTTAATTTAATCAAGGCCGAAAGTTGCCATAATCACGGCAGATTAAATAAATATTGCCTTGATTAGGCATTCAAAATGGAAAAATAAGTTTTTTTCCCCCTAACCATCATGTTTGTGGTTACCCTCGGGCACGAACCTGTTGTGGGATAGCACGCGGACAGACGTAGTCCAATTTGAGTGTCGGTCTTTTTGCAACCCCAATCATATTATAATATGACACGAGTTGCATTCTCGCTATCATCAATCCAATACTAGATGCAGAAGTCACAATTAACTTTGCACAAAAATGAAGCAGAAGAAGCAGAAATTCTTCCAATTCAAAGGCCAGCGAAGGTTTCAGTAATTCGCAATCCCTAAACGCTATGATATGAAACTGAAACCCGATGTTGTTGCATGCAACTTCATAGGCATTGTCAACTTCTTTCTCCGACGCCAACTTCCTTGTTATGCTGATAAACCTACGAGGAAAAAAAAAAGAATATTTGGTTGGGAATATAAGGACTGTGTGCAAAAATTTGCCCTTGTTTGACAATCATTATTTAGGTAAAATAGAGTTTTGAATAGTGATTTTTTGGAGAATATGTGGTTAAAAAGTATGAAAAAGATTTATGTTTACGTGTAGAATATTTTATTGTGTGAATATATGATTGAAAATGAATATGTAGAAAAAAGAGTTTTGAAATAATGATTGTCAAATAGGAGCTAAACTTTGAATAGATTTGTCTTTAAATTTATATGATGTTTACTGGGCTTATAAATCTATTAATAAATTTTGGAATTCTCTAGAAAATAAATATGATACTAAAGATGTTGGAACATACGAAAATTTCTTGACTTTATAAAGACTGTATTTAGTCAAGTTGATGAATTACAAATTCTTATTCATGAAGTTACTGGTGAGTGGTATAAAATGTGTGAGGATTTTGAAATGTCTGCTACTATTGAAAATTATCCTACACTTGGAAAGACATTTTTCATTTCAATAATTTGTTGCAAAGTGACCTGGTTTACCATAAACAAACCAATCATCAATAGTTTTATTTTTAAAATGGGTTTATATGGATAGTCTTTCCCTACAAATTTCTTTTCTTTGTTAAGTCCTTGTACTTGTAACCATTAATAAAAACATCTCTTTTTGTTTTTATTTATTAATTAAAATATATTAACCATAACCACAATCGGCTTTTACGTTAAGAGAGGGAAATTTGAAAAAAGAAACACGATCCCTAAGAAACCACTTCCACGTCGTATACGAGAAACAAACCGAAAGAAATTAATACTTACAAAAATTCCACAAATATCTCCTCCACAATTCCAAAGATTATTCGAACTCATTCTCCACAATCAATGAAATATTTACACTCACAGTAACTATATCCAGTAATCTCTGTCGTCTTCACTTTGCCGCTTGCATCAAGACTTTACCCTTTAGCATGGTTCTTACTAAAAATTTTAAAGGTTTTGAAATCCCTTTAAATGATGAGGTCTTCATTTCACTCCATCCCACCGACATTTTTACTTTTACCTTGGATCACTACAATCTCCTCAACAGATGCATCGATTGACTTACATCCTTCGTCGACGGGCATAGTAGGATGCTCCACCGAATGCAAGTTCAACAAGATGCAATACGAGCTCAACAAGCGATGATCCAGGCTCAGCAAGATGCCTTTTATGCTTACTACAACGCTGAACAGGAGGCAATGCAAGATCAATAAAATATTTTTTATGCTCAGTTCGATGCACTCTTCCCACCACTGTCTCATCTGGAATCATAGATGTGACTTTATGCATATGTATTTTAATCCTTATGTTGATCTAACCTCTTTGTATCCTTACCTTTCGTAAACTCATGCCTTGACTTGTCTATGTATACGATATCTAATATTTTGCATTTTTTTAGGCTTCATGTGTTCACTTAAGGGGAGAACTCCTATAGTTGTGTTTTGATCTTAAATGCTATATCTTTTTGCTTATGACATAAGAGGGAAAATATATGAGACAATATGCTTGATGAAAATGTGATGATAGATGGATATGATCAAAATGCTTGCCTTGATAAACATACGCTTTAAAGTGGGGCTATTGGTTTATAAAAGATATGGGGAATATATGGATTACATGCAAAATTTAAGATTTATATTCTTTATCAAATTGTTCAATATTACTTTACAAATCATCTTGTTTGTCATAATAAAAAAAAGAAAAAGAAAGAAATTGCTGGTATATGGTTGATTATAACTTAAAATTTTGATTATAACAAACAAGTTAATCTTATTTACTAACAAGTTTAATTCAAGTGATTATGGAAAATTGATTGATGGTCGTCAAAAGATCAAAAACTATCATTACAAATCGGACTCATGAAGGAAGTTGAGATCAAAGTCATACATTCAAGAACTGAAGAGCCAAACTTCGAAGCAAGATCAATGACTTAATTTCTTAGATAAAGTATAAATGTACTAACAATTTGATATTTAGTAATGAATGCTTAAACTCAAATATTTCTATGCATTAAAAACAATTTTGTGCATGAAAAGTAATTCTAATACAATGATTTGATCAAATATAAAAATGACTTTTAAAAATGATAATTGGACTTAAAAACATTTTTTATTTTGAAGAGTTAGTTAAAAATGTTTTCCAAAAGTTCATGCCTTTCAAAACTTTCGAATTGGAACCAACGGGGCCAAAACGTAAAAAAGATCAAACTACCGAGCGATCGACCAGCCAAAAGAGGCGATTGACCAAAAATTTCCAACGGTCCAAAATTTAACCGTTCTGATATCTGATTTTTATTGTACAAACGACTATATTGGTCATTCGGAGAAGGGCAGTCAATCGGACAAGTCATCTGAACTCTCAAATTTTTTTGACGTTTTGAACTCTATAAATACATCTATTTCTTGCATTCAATAAAATATTCTTTAAGAACATTAAAGTGAGAAATACTCTATCAAAACTCTCTGAGCTTACATCTTTTTTAATTCTTCAAATATTTGTTTTGAGAACTTTTGATTGATTGAATCAACTTTTGAAAATTATATTTTTCATCAAACACTTGAGTTTCATTCATTGCTATTAATTTAAGTGTTAGCCTATTTCCCTCTTTATACTTAATTTGTGTATATTATTTATTAAGTGAGGTTGAAACTTAATTTATGGGAAATGAACGTAGGAGAATGCAGTCATAATGTGCTGAAATCTCTTAGGCTTTTTGTCATGTAGTCTTGGTACCTTGAAAAATAATATGATTTGAGCTTATTAAAT